GAGCAGCGGGGGGGCAGGGGAGTGGGGGAGTGCATGTGAAGTGGGGGGTTGGGAGCAGGGCAGTGGGGTGCTGAAGGGATTGGGCTCTGGGGCAGAGGAGCCATGGGGGTGGGGAGCGGGGCCAGGACCGGGGCTGACCCCTGCTCTCTCCCCAGCCCTGAACAGCCTGACTGGGGAGTTCAAGGGCAAGTACTACCCCCTGAAGGACATGAGCGACAAGGAGCAGCAGCAGCTGATAGACGACCACTTCCTGTTCGACAAGCCCGTCTCGCCCCTGCTGCTGGCCTCGGGCATGGCCCGCGACTGGCCCGATGCCAGGGGCATATGGTGAGCACCAGGGCCCCCAGTGCCACTGGAGGGGGAGTCTGGGTGGGGGGACTCAGTGCCAGGACTCCTGGGTTCTATCCCTGGCTCGGGGAGGGGAGTGGGGTCTAGTGGTTAGAGCGGGGGGGGGGGAGTCTGGGAGCCAGGACTCCTGGGTTCTATGCCCAGCTCTGTAATGGGATGCTAAACTGTTATGTAGTTTCACCTCCAGGTGGCACTGCATGCTCCTTCCCTTATCCCTGCTCCCCTGGGCCCTAGGGCAGAGCACTGGGGGGGGGGCTGACAGTCGGGGAAGGTCACCCTGTAGCCTGCCCGTCCCTGGCACAGGGCTGCCCAGCTCAGAGCGGCCCTGCAGCCCAGTGGGTACAAGACGGACAGGCAGACGCTGGCCCAGAGGCCTTTTCCCCAGCTCTGCAGCAGCTGTGACAAGGGGGGCGATTGGGTGGGGGGGCACGAATGGGGCAGGGCTGTGGGGCTGGAGAGGGGCGTGCTGGCTGTGCCAGGCTGGGCAGAGGGGTCGTGCCCGTGCCGTCACACCGCTCTCTGGGTTGCAGGCACAATGACAACAAGAGCTTCCTGGTGTGGGTGAACGAGGAGGACCACCTGCGCGTCATCTCCATGGAGAAGGGCGGCAACATGAAGGAGGTGTTCCGGCGCTTCTGTGTTGGGCTGCAGAAGGTGAGCGCCCCCTCCTGCCCCCGCCCGGCCTGGGAGACAGCCCAGCAGTCCTGGCTCCCAGCCCCCTGCTCCAAGCCACTAGACCCGCCTCCCCTCCCAGAGCTGGGCTAGAACCCAGGAAGTCCTGGCAGCCAGCCCCCATTCTACGCCCTAGGCCCACTGCCCACCCTGGTGCTGGGAGTGGGGGTGAGGGCCAGACAGCTGGTGTACAGGCACCCTCCAGGCTGCTGCACTGCCCCCTGCTGGCGGAGAGTTTCCTGGGAGAGATGCCCAGTGCCCTGGGACCTTGAGTTTGGAGCATCTGTTTCCCCTTCCCTGCCCAGCTCTGGTGTCAGCTGGTGGGGGGCATCCCTGACACTGGCTTAGGGCTTAGGGTTATTAGGGGGTAGGCCCTGGCTGGAAGGGGGTGGTTAGCAGAGGGTCTGTCTGGTCCTGGCTGGGGGTCATTGTGTGTGTGTGGGGGGGAGAGGGGGGCTAGTCCTCTCTGGGGTGTGTTGGCTGGAGGGTTGTTGGAGGGCCTGTGGCTGTCCTGGCCCTGGCTGGGGGGTGGGGGGCTGGCTGGACCCTGGCTGGGGCAGGGAGCTGTTGGGGGAGGGGATGGCCTGGCTGGGAGTTGTTGCGGGGGGGGCACGGGTGGCAGGCTGGCCTGACCCTGGCTGGGGGGCACTGGCTGACAGGCTCTCTCCCTACCCGGCAGATTGAGGAGATCTTTAAGAAGGCTGGGCACCCCTTCATGTGGAACCAGCACCTGGGCTACGTGCTGACCTGCCCCTCCAACCTGGGCACTGGCCTGCGGGGCGGGGTCCACGTTAAGCTCCCCCACCTCAGCAAACACCCCAAGTTTGAGGAGACCCTCAAGAGGCTGCGGCTGCAGAAGCGCGGCACAGGTGAGGGCGGGGGCCACAAGTGGGTGTAGGGTGGGGCTGGGGACACATGAGGGGCAGGGGGCACAAATAGGTGTGGGTTTACCAGGGGCTCGGGTTGTAGGGAGTTACAGGTGGGGCTACAGGAGTGTGGGGGGCACTTCGGTAGGGCTGGGGTTACAGATGAGGGTGGGGGCATAGGGTTGGGGGAGGGGACTCAGGTCGGGGTCAGGCCATACAGGTGGACATGGGGATACAGGTGTGGGGGGTTACAGGTGGGGAGAGGGCTGGGCTGAGCCCAGCAGGGGCAGTCTGAGACTCTGCGGTGTGGCCCTGCCCATCCCGCAGGCGGAGCTGTGTCCCACTGCCCCCAGCCCCTGGGGTGCCCTCAAGCTGGTGCCCTCAAGCGACACTGAGGGGCATCTGAGAGGCTCTGGGCAAGGCCTGGAGTGCCAAGTCTGGCTGACAGTAGTGGGGGGCAACCAGGCAGCCGGGACGTGGCGGGGCAGGATACACGCTGGGCCATAGCTGCTGCATGGGGTCTCCAGGGGCCGGGTGGCTGTGGGCAAAGAGGCCAGGCTAGGGTGGTGGGGCCAGGAGGCTGCCAGAGCCGCTCCGCTGCAGTGGGGTCTGGCCTCAGCTGCATGGCACTGTGCCCCCCAGGTGGCGTGGACACTGAGGCCGTAGGTGCCGTGTTCGACATCTCCAACGCCGACCGGCTGGGCTTCTCCGAGGTGGAGCAGGTGCAGATGGTGGTGGACGGCGTCAAGCTCATGGTGGAGATGGAGAAGAAGCTGGAAAAGGGCCAGGCCATCGATGACATGATCCCAGCCCAGAAGTAGGCGCCTGCCAGCAGGCACATGTGACCTAATAAAGTAATGATGGCCCCCTGGCAGCCTGTTCTGTGTCCATGGGGATCCTGACGGGAGCACAGGTGGGGAGAACAGCCCATAATTCCAGGTGGTCTGGCAGGCAGCACGTCCCAGTGCCAGCCGTGGGACCCTGTGGCAAGGGGCTGTCAGGCCCTCCCAAGCTCTTCTGCTCTGGGGAAGGATAGGCAGGAACCACCCTCCCCTCACCCCAACTCCCAGGTGCGTGGGTGCTGGGCCAAGTCCCTGGCTGTGGAGGGCCCTGAGCTTGGAGGGGGGTCCCATGCTTGGCCAGAGCAGGCAACATCAGCCAGTCCCTCTGCTCGGCTGGTGGGGGGCACTGAGCACCCAGGGCTGGCCTAGCTATATCTGAGCCCCCCTGCTATGCGCTGGCCTCTGGCTGTTTGCTGCCCCCCATCCCCAAGTGCATCTTGGGGGGCAGCTGCCAGCTGTTTCCCAAGCCCCAGAGTTGATGGCCTCTGCCTGGCCTCACCTGAGCTTCAGTGTGACGGGCTGTGGACTGGGCAGGTGAGGCCAGGCCAGCCCCAGAGCTTGTGCTGTCCCCCAGGCTGTTGTGGTAGGGCCCAGGTGGACAGGGTGAAGTTTGCTCTGGGGGATGCTGCCCCCAGGGCGTGCAGCAAAATGCCCACCTCCACTCTGGGCATAACAGCCCCTGGCCTCCCTGCATGGCTGCTTGGGAGCCTGGTGCGGTGGCTTCCCCCGGTGGTGTGCAGGACATATGCCCCATGATCTGCGAGCCCAAGGAGCCATGTGCAAAGGGCTGTAGCCCAGTCTGTACAGGTGCCAGGGGGTGTGGCTCAACTGGGGGTGGTCCAGCCCTGGCACCACTGCTCCAAGGAGCTGGGGGTCTTTCCCACTCAGGGCCCCCTCCCCATGGCTCTGGCAGCAGGTGAAGGACTCATCCATGGGGCCCTGTAAAGCCACATTGGATGGCATCCTCCAGCCCTGCTCAGTGCCTGCAGCCCAGTTTGCCCTCTCCTAGGGGCTGGCACATGGCATTATAGAGTCTCAGAACCCACCCGTTTGCCCAGAAGCCACCATGCCTGGCACCGGAGCTCAGCTTAAAACTCCTGAGAGGTGCAGAGGCTCTGCTGTCAGCTGCCCATCACCCCGATTCCGGGAAGCGGGGCTTTGAGTGAAACGCACTGAGCTGCTCTCTGGGCCGCTGGCACCATGGGTGAATGTGGGTCTGAGCCTCCAGAGAGAAATAGGGCAGAGCTGGAGGCAGGCAGCAGCAGCACCTGTGTCCTCCAATCATCCCACCCCACATGAGCCCCCAGCTGTGTCCACCTGGCCCTACCAACCTTCTCATCACATCAGATCTCAGCTGTGCCTTCTGCCTCCCCATGCCCTCCAGCCCCCCTGTTTCATGAGACCCCAGCAGCACCCTCCAGCTCCCTGCCCTCCAAGCTGCCCACCCCAGGCATGCCCATGCAGAGGTGCAGTCTCTGCTCCCTCTTTGCTGGAGGGGGCTCCCCTCTTGTCACGGTCCTGTACCCTGCTCTCCTGCCAGCCCAACGGGTGGCATCATCCCCGAGGGAAGCATGGAAGCGTAGTGCATGGCAGGGGCCGGGGGGAGAAGATGGACACACAGTGTGAAACAAGCCCCAGCTGCCAATTACCCTTGAGCAAAGCAGGGTCATCGTGCGTGGCAGAGGCCAGGCACCCGCCATCCTCATGCAGGGGCCAGTGGAACGCCTACCCACGGCCCAGAACCCCCCTCCTCAGAGGCATTACTGCTGGTGCCAACCTGTGCCTCACACCACGGCTCTCTGGGAGAGCGGCCCAGGTTTCCCAGCACACGCAGGCACACACTGCCCTGCCACATGCTAGTGGAACGGAGACAGGACGGGAAGTCCCACTCCCGTAGCCCCTGGGACTTGCTGGGCCGAGGGCACCACCATAACATCCCCGTACAGACGGTGCCTGTGGTGGGCAGGGCCTTGAACTCACCTGCACGCTCAATACACACCCCTCTGTCCCTGCAGCGAAATCCCCTGCACTCTGCCCCAAGCACGCGGCTGTGGGCACGGACCGCTCTCTTGGAGGGGTGGAGCAGGTCTCAGGCCGCCTGGGTTCTACCCCAGGGCAGCCTCCCCCGACACAAGTTTGTTTGCAAAGCACCGTGTGCTCCCGGGTGGCAGCCCAAGGGTGGAGACGGAGGCAGGCCTGCGTTGTGCCCATGCCCGGACAGACGGGCGAGACCTATGCCCACGTGGCAGTGAAGCAGGAGCCAGACGGGGCAGAGGCTTCCTATGTTTATTGGGGGTCAATACAGACTGGCGCACAGGGCTGGAATAACTTAAAAATGTCCCAAGGCTACGAGCTGGCTCGGTACTCTACACAACCCAAAGGGACTCCGGGGCTATTTACAGGGGCTGTACAAGAGGGGAGGGCCCAGCCCGGGGTGGGGGGAGACCCACCAGGGCTTTCCCGGGAGCTGCCTGTTGCTTTACTCTGCTCTTTAAAAAATGGGGAGGGGAGGTGTCAACAGGCCCCAGCTGGGACCCCCCACCCAGCCAGGATGCCTGCCACCCAGGGGTGCCCCCCATTGCCAGGACACCTGCCACCTAGACACACCCTCCAGCCCCATGGCCAGGACCCCTGCTGCCTTGCTTACAACCTCCTTTATTCCTCCCAGCCTCCAGCTCCTCAGATCAACACCCCCCCCCTCCACAGCAGCCCCCGCAGGAGCAGGGCATGAGGCCAGGCTGACCCCCCCAGCCCTGGGCATGTGTGGGCAGGTCGTGCCCATCCATGGGAGGTGCAGCCGTGCCAGGCCCCAGGTCGTACCAGCTCCAGTGAGACCATGGCCCACCTGGGGCCCTGCCCGCCAAGGGGGCTGTGCCCCGAGTAGGGCCGAGTCCCCCTGGAGGTCCAGCCTCTCCAGGGGCTGCCTGCAGGGCCCCTCTCAGCCACTGGCCCTGAACTGAGGCAGCCAAGCAGGGGGGAGGCAGGGCTGGGGTCAGAGCTGCCCCCAGGGAGGGAGCACAGTCCCTCGTGCTGCCCTGGCAGGGCTGCTAGGCAACAGGGATGAGCACTTGCCCCACAGCTCCCAGCTCCATCCCCCCCTGCCCCCGAGCTCAATCAACACCATCCTACCCCCACCCAAGGGGCATCCGGGGCCCGAGTCATTGCCATGGTCTAGGCTGGGACCACCCCCGGGGACCCAGCACTCGCCCTGGCACCTGCTCAGCACTGCTGTGCCTAGAGGGGGTGGCCCCTTGTCCCTGTGCTGAGGGCCACGTCCCTGCTACTGGGAGACTTGTGACCTCTCGGCCACCCAGGGAGATGGGGCTCCCCTCTGGGCCCAGAGCTGGAGGCGGCCGAAATGGTGGGCCCATGGGCTACACTGCTGTCCTGAGCGTCTCGCTTCTCACTCCGGCCCTACTGCATCACCCCCAGCCCAGAGCCCCCGTCCCTACCCTCAGCCCACAGGGGCCTGTCAAACCTGGAGTGCCTCACTGTGCCCTGAGCCCCCCCACCCAGAGCATCCCACCCTGCCTCTCCCAGAGGGCCCTGCCCTGTCCCTGCCAATGCTATCACCTCAACACCTGCCAACGTTGGGAATGCCCCCACTACACTGGGGCCAGTGGCTCAGTGACACCCCACAATTGGCCTGGGGAGCCCCCTCCTGTGCTAGGCTGGGCATGCCCCACTGTGTGTGGGGCAGCCCTGGGCCTGGCCCCAGCCCAGCAGAGCCAGGCCCAGCCCCTCGCCCCAGAGGGGAACGGTGCCCGGTGCCCTTGTTCTCCCTGTGAGCCCCTAGGAGCAGCAGGGCAGGCCCCAGGCCTAGGCCCAGCAGAGGACAGGCCGGGTTCACAGGCCAGAGGAGTCAGGGGCATTTCCCCTACAGGCCGAGCTGCTGGCCAGATCCATCCCAGGGCTGCACTGGCTCCAGGCCAGGGAGCCTGGGGGGACCCCCCACCCCCAGTGAGGACGGGCAGGCCGCTGGGCGTGGGGAGCCATCCAGGGCTCTAGAGCTGCAGCTGGCTGGCAATGCTCGTCACCACGGTGCGGAAGGCCAGCGAGGTGCCAGCCAGGCGCCGGAAGAGCACGCCGGTGAGGCCAAGACGCTGCAGCCGGCACACCTCCGCCTCGAAGTGGCAGAAGTGCTCGCTGGCGCTCTTGGCGTGCGTGCAGGACAGGAGGAAGGGCTCCAGCTGGCGGCAGCAGCAGCTGGCCGAGTCCGTGGCCTGGCGCAGGGCAGCCATCATGGCCTCGGGGGGGTGGGTGCTGGTCACCTTCACATTCCAGGTACATCGGAGCAGCCGGGGTTCTGCTTCCTTTTGATTCCAAGGTAAATTGCAACTGTGGGCGGAAGGAGCAGAGGGGGCGTCAGCCGGGCGGGAAGGGGGCTGCAGGGTGCTGTGCTGGGTCCCTGCCAGGGGGCTGATAGGGGTGGAGGCAGGTGCTGCCACAGCACCAGAGCAAGGGGACAGTTGTGTGTAGAGACCAGGTTCTGGGCAGCCCTGGCAGGGCAAGGCAGCTTCTGGGAAGTCCCAGCGAGATAGGACAGGGCAGGGCTGCCCCAGCAGGCAGGTCAGGGAGGGACAGGACTATCTCAGCAGGCAGGTCGGGGCTGGACGGGGCTGGCCCAGCGGGTGGGATGGGGCAGGTCGGGGGGGGGCTGGCCCAGCAGGCAGGTCGGGGCTGGACGGGGCTGGCCCAGCAGGCAGGTCGGGGCTGGCCCAGCAGGCAGGTCGGGGCTGGACGGGGCTGGCCCAGCAGGCAGGTCGGGGCTGGACGGGGCTATCTCAGCGGGCTGGGACGGGGCAGGGCGGGGTAGGACGGGGCAGGCCCAGTGGGCTGGGACAGGGCAGGTCGGAGCGGCACAGGGCAGGCCCAGCAGGCAGGTCGGGGCGGGACAGGGCTATCACAAAAGAAGGCTGGGACGGGGCAGGGCGGGGTAGGACGGGACAGGCCCAGTGGGCTGGGATGGGGCAGGTCGGGGCGGCACGGGGCAGGCCCAGCAGGCAGGTCGGGGTGGGACGGGGCTATCTCAGCGGGCTGGGACGGGGCAGGGCAGGGTGGGACGGAGCAGGCCCAGCGGGCTGGGACAGGGCAGGGCAGGGCAGGATGGGGCAGGCCCAGCGGGCTGGGATGAGGCGGGACGGGGCTGCCCCAGCAGGCAGGTCGGGGCGGGACAGGGCTATCACAGCGGGCTGGGACGGGGCAGGGCAGGGTGGGACGGGGCAGGCCCAGTGGGCTGCCCCAGCAGGCAGGTCGGGGCGGGACGGGGCTGGCTCAGTGGGCTGCCCCAGCAGGCAGGTCGGGGCGGGACGGGGCTGGCTCAGCGGGCTGGGATAGGGTGGGACAGGGCTGCCCCAGCAGGCAGGTCGGGGCGGGACAAGGCGGGGCAGAGCACCACGTACCTTGTGAGCGCAGGTCCCCCGATTCTCTCAGGTTCGTCTGCGACCCTGTGGTGGGGACAGAGGAGCAGTTAGTGGCCGAGCCGAGGCTCTGTGCTGCACTCAGAGGGGGCAGCGGTGGGTGCTGGGCACGGGTAGACGGGGCTGCTCCCAGACCCAGAGCCGCTGGTGGGTTAGGCTGCGAGGGGCCCGCGTGAAGGTTTCCTTTAAGACAGAAGAGGTCTCTGGCCTGGCAGGCTGTTGATTCCTCCATAGAGTGGGGCAGAGGGGGAATGACGAAGGGCGTCCAAGGCTGCTCCGGATGGGGCGCGCTGCCCCCGGGTCCCTCAGCCCTCCAGATGAATCCGCATGCCGGTAGCTAGGCCATGGACCCGGCTGGGCTCTGCCCCGAGCAGAGCAGATGGGGCAAGATGGGAGCAACCGGGCAGGGAGGAGCAGCATCTCTGCCACTTTGGGGGGCTGGAGCCACCCCCCACAGCTGGATGCTGCATCATGAACCCCTCTGAGAGCTGCGGAAGGAAACCCCCATTCCCCCCTCTTGCTCACAGCACTAGGGCCCAGAAGGACCCAGCGTAGGCACCTCACCCCACACAGCCGGGCATGGGCACAACCAGGGGGCTCAATTCTGGGGCTGTGATGCAGAAAGGCCCTGCCCTGGGGGAACCTCTCTGTCTGGGTGTATGGGTCACCCCACAGGCTGCAGGAGCAGGTGGGGACGAGGGGCTTTTGGAGAGGACCCCAAGTATGCTCAGACCCCCCAACAATGTGAGCCCTAAATGTCTGTATGGTGGCATGGGTAGGGACCTGTGACGAAGTGGGACTATTCTTAATGTTTCCTCTGAATATTGTGGGGGTGCCTCAGTTTCCCCTAGGCAGTTCTTAAGTATCTAGGTGGTGGGATAAGGGTGTATGATCATTGCAGAGCCCTAGAGGGCAGGTGTGTGCAGGGGTCTGGACAGAGAGAATGGCCGACACCCTGTTTCCTGGCAACTGATGGCCTGGGCCCTTCCCCCCTGCAAGGTGAGAACTAAAGGGTTGGAGAACAAAGGAATCAGGTGCCCTCCTGGCCCGGGAAAGGAACAAAGCCCAGGGGCGGAGGGGCTGGAGGGAGTTTCAGTTTGGGGCTGGCTGGGGACATGGAGTGAAGTGCAGACGTGGTTGTCTGGCTCACTGGCCACAAAATGGACCCAGCTGAGGGGTCGGTTCTCTGTACCTACAAGCTCTGTGTTAGACCATGTTCCTGTCATCTAATAAACCTTCTGTCTTACTGGCTGGCTGAGAGTCACGTCTGACTGCGGAGTTGAGGGGCAGGACCCTCTGGCTTCCCCAGGACCCCGCCTGGGTGGACTCGCTGTGGGAAGCGCACGGAGGGGCAGAGGACGCTGAATGCTCCGAGGTCAGACCCAGGAAGGTGGAAGCCGTGTGAGCTGTGTGTCCTGCTCACAGAGAGGAGACTTCCCCAGAGTCCTGACTGGCTTCATGGGGAGCAGTTCCAGAGCAGCGCCCGGGGACTCCGTGACAGGACCACTCAGCCCCTGGGCACAGGACGCGTGCCCTGTGGATTGCGGTGCACCTACAGCTCCCTGCTGTCCAGCCAGATCCCACCCCCCTCCCCGAATAGAGCTCCCGGGTGAATAGAGCTCCCGGGCACTGGGAGATCCCCCGGCTTCCAGGCTGGAGAAGTGCAACACAGGACCTGGAGTGAGAAAGAAAAGGTAGGAAGGGAGAGCAGGCGAGGGGGAGACAGAGCGAGGGGGAGACAGAGCGAGGGGGGAGCGGAAGCTGCGGCACTTACTGATTTTGGCTCCTTGAGGCACAGAGGCGCCAGAGACGCACCTGTTAGAGTTCTGCCGCTTAGACGGGTCAAGAGTGACCCTGAAACAGAGAAGGCCGGAGTGAAGGGGGAGCAGAGAGCTTGAGACCAGAGGCAGGAGGTGCCCAGGCACACGGCTCATGCAGGGAAACTTGGCGCCCAGACCCTGGGGCCCAACCTGGGGGTCCGCACAGCACCCCCTGCCAGGAGAGGCTGGGACTAGAGTAGCTGGGAGCCCCCCCACAGCCACCACCCCCACCCTGCCCCCCACAGCACCCCCTGCTGGGAGAGGCTGGGACTGGATTTGCTGGGAGCCCCCCACAGCCACCACCCCCACCCCGCCCCCTGCTGAGAGAGGCTGGGACTAGAGTAGCTGGGAGCCCCCCACAGCCACCACCCCCACCCCACCCCCTGCTGAGAGAGGCTGGGACTAGAGTAGCTGGGAGCCCCCCACAGCCACTACCCCCACCCCACCCCCTGCTGAGAGAGGCTGGGACTAGAGTAGCTGGGAGCCCCCCACAGCCACCACCCCCACCCCACCCCCTGCTGAGAGAGGCTGGGACTAGAGTAGCTGGGAGACCCCCACAGCCACCACCCCCACCCCACCCCCACAGCACCCCCTGCTGGGAGAGGCTGGGACTGTATTTGCTGGGAGCCCCCCACAGCCACCACCCCCACCCCACCCCCTGCTGAGAGAGGCTGGGACTAGAGTAGCTGGGAGCCCCCAACAGCCACCCCCCCCACCCCGCCCCCCAACAGCGCCCCCTGCTGAGAGAGGCTGGGAGCTCCCCCACAGCACCCCCTGCTGAGAGAGGCTGGAATTAGAGTAGCTGGGAGCTCCCCACAGCCACTGCCCCCACCCTGCTCCCCACAGCGCCCCCTGCTGGGAGAGAAGTGGGCTGGAGGAGTTGGGAGTGTCCCCCCCACAGCCAGCACCCCTGCCCCACGCCGAGTGCTGGGCTTGGGGCACTCACCTCCGCGTCAGCTTGGAGGTGAGTTTGCTGAAGAGGTTGGAGGTGGCGCGGCTGCGGCTCTGGGGCAGCGGCGTGGCCTCGTGGGACAGCGTGGGGGAGGTGGGCGGCCCGTTCTGCACGGCCCCACGCCGGTCCCGCACCTGGCCCCCGTGGAAGGTGCTGCGGATGGTGGTGCCACGCGAGAGGCGGGTGCGGTCCGAGGACGACGTGGCGATGCTGTGGCTGGAGGGCGACGCGGGGGGCACCCGGTTGGCGATGGAGCTGGGGGGAGGGGAGAGAGCCCCACTGTGAGCCTCTTATGTACACCCCTTATGTATTCTCTGCCCCATAACCCCCATGCACCCTCTTCTCTCCACCCCCTATGCACCCCATGCCCCATAATCCCCATGCACCCTCTTCTCCCCACCCCCTATGCACCCCATGCCCCATAACCCCCACGCACCCTCTCCTCCCCACCCCTAATGTATTCCCTGCACCATAACCCCCACGCACCCCTCTCCTCCACACTGCTTATGTACCCCCTTCCCCATAATTCCCACAGGGTAGGTGGGGGAAGGAGGCCCTGGGAGGTTATCCCAGGATCCATCACGGTGCTGCCCGTGGGGCACTGCTCGGGGGTTGGTGGAGGAAGGGGGCCCTTTGAGGTTATCCTGGGACCCATCATGGTGCTTCCCACGGGGCAGTGGGGGGTCGGCAGGGGAAGGGGGCCCTGTGAGGTTAACCCTGGATCTGTCATGGCACTGCCTACGGGGCACTGGGGGGTCAGTGGGGAAGGGGCCCTGAGAGGTTATCCCGGGATCTGTCATGGTGCTGCCTGCAGGGAACTGAGTGGGTTGGCAGGGGAAGGGGGCCCTAAAATGTAATCCTGGGATCCATCATGGCACTGCCCGCAGGGATGGGGGGTGGGGGGGCGTCAGTGAGGTCAGGGAGCCCTGCGAGGTTATCCTCCGATCCATCATGGCACTGCCCGTGGGGCACTGGGGGGTTGGTGGAGGAAGTTTTTGGAAAGCGTAGGGGACAATTTCCTGGCGCAAGTGCTCGAGGAGCCAACTAGGGGGGGGCGCTTTTCTTGACCTGCTGCTCACAAACCGGGTAGAATTAGTGGGGGAAGCAAAAGTGGATGGGAATCTGGGGGGCAGTGACCATGAGTTGGTTGAGTTCAGGATCCTGACACAGGGAAGAAAGGTAAGCAGCACGATACGGACCCTGGACTTCAGGAAAGCAGACTTCGACTCCCTCAGGGAACGGATGGCCAGGATCCCCTGGGGGACTAACTTGAAGGGGAAAGGAGTCCAGGAGAGCTGGCTGTATTTCAAGGAATCCCTGTTGAGGTTACAGGGACAAACCATCCCGATGAGTCGAAAGAATAGTAAATATGGCAGGCGACCAGCTTGGCTTAATGGTGAAATCTTAGCGGATCTTAAACATAAAAAAGAAGCTTACAAGAAGTGGAAGGTTGGACATATGACCAGGGAAGAGTATAAAAATATTGCTAGGGCATGTAGGAATGTTATCAGGAGGGCCAAATCGCACCTGGAGCTGCAGCTAGCCAGAGATGTCAAGAGTAACAAGAAGGGTTTCTTCAGGTATGTTGGCAACAAGAAGAAAGCCAAGGAATGTGTGGGCCCCTTACTGAATGAGGGAGGCAAACTAGTGACAGAGGATGTGGAAAAAGCTAATGTACTCAATGCTTTTTTTGCCTCTGTTTTCACTAACAAGGTCAGCTCCCAGACTGCTACGCTGGGCATCACAAAATGGGGAAGAGATGGCCAGCCCTCTGTGGAGATAGAGGTGGTTAGGGACTTTTTAGAAAAGCTGGACGTGCACAAGTCCATGGGGCCGGACGAGTTGCATCCGAGAGTGCTGAAGGAACTGGCGGCTGTGATTGCAGAGCCATTGGCCATTATCTTTGAAAACTCGTGGCGAACCGGAGAAGTCCCGGATGACTGGAAAAAGGCTAATGTAGTGCCAATCTTTAAAAAAGGGAAGAAGGAGGATCCTGGGAACCACAGGCCAGTCAGCCTCACTTCAGTCCCTGGAAAAATCATGGAGCAGGTCCTCAAAGAATCAATCCTGAAGCACTTGCATGAGAGGAAAGTGATCAGGAACAGCCAGCATGGATTCACCAAGGGAAGGTCATGCCTGACTAATCTAATCGCCTTCTATGATGAGATTACTGGTTCTGTGGATGAAGGGGAAGCAATGGATGTATTGTTTCTTGACTTTAGCAAAGCTTTTGACACGGTCTCCCACAGTATTCTTGTCAGCAAGTTGAGGAAGTATGGGCTGGATGAATGCACTACAAGGTGGGTAGAAAGCTGGCTAGATTGTCGGGCTCAAAGGGTAGTGATCAATGGCTCCATGTCTAGTTGGCAGCCGGTATCAAGTGGAGTGCCCCAAGGGTCGGTCCTGGGGCCGGTTTTGTTCAATATCTTCATAAATGATCTGGAGGATGGTGTGGATTGCACTCTCAGCAAATTTGCGGATGATACTAAACTGGGAGGAGTGGTAGATACACTGGAGGGGAGGGATAGGATACAGAAGGACCTAGACAAATTGGAGGATTGGGCCAAAAGAAATCTGATGAGGTTCAATAAGGATAAGTGCAGGGTCCTGCACTTAGGACGGAAGAACCCAATGCACAGCTACAGACTAGGGACCGAATGGCTAGGCAGCAGTTCTGCGGAAAAGGACCTAGGGGTGACAGTGGACGAGAAGCTGGATATGAGTCAGCAGTGTGCCCTTGTTGCCAAGAAGGCCAATGGCATTTTGGGATGTATAAGTAGGGGCATAGCGAGCAGATCGAGGGACGTGATCGTTCCCCTCTATTCGACATTGGTGAGGCCTCATCTGGAGTACTGTGTCCAGTTTTGGGCCCCACACTTCAAGAAGGATGTGGATAATTTGGAGAGAGTCCAGCGAAGGGCAACAAAAATGATTAGGGGTCTGGAACATATGAGTTATGAGGAGAGGCTGAGGGAGCTGGGATTGTTTAGCCTGCAGAAGAGAAGAATGAGGGGGGGATTTGATAGCTGCTTTCAACTACCTGAAAGGGGGTTCCAAAGAGGATGGCTCTAGACTGTTCTCAATGGTATCAGATGACAGAACGAGGAGTAATGGTCTCAAGTTACAGTGGGGGAGGTTTAGATTGGATATTAGGAAAAACTTTTTCACTATGAGGGTGGTGAAACACTGGAATGCGTTACCTAGGGAGGTGGTAGAATCTCCTTCCTTAGAGGTTTTTAAGGTCAGGCTTGACAAAGCCCTGGCTGGGATGATTTAACTGGGAATTGGTCCTGCTTTGAGCAGGGGGTTGGACTAGATGACCTTCTGGGGTCCCTTCCAACCCTTATATTCTATGATTCTATGATTCTATGAAGGGGCCCTGCGAGGTTATCCTAGGATCTGTCATGGTACTAACCGCGACGCACTGGAACAGGGCAAGTGGAAAGTGGGACAGGAGTCAGGGCGGCCAGGGTCCACGGGAAGGAAGGGGTGGGGGTCCGGGGAGGCTGCAGCTCAGTCATGGCTGATGCTTGTGGGGGAGGGGCAGGGCCAGCTTCCTCCCCCACCAAGGCTTTCCTCTCCCCCACTAGCACTGCCCATCCCTTCTGTCCCCTACCCGCCCCACAGCCTTACCTAGACTCAGGGCAGCTGCCTCTGCCCCTCACACCCCTGGGCGGGGGGCAAGAGCTCCATCCCACTGCCTGAAAGCCTGCCCCAGCGCAGCAGCCCCTCCTGGAGGGAGGGGAGAGCGACCACCTGTGGCAGCCCCATCTCAGAACCTGGTATCCCCCCACTGCCCCCTGGGCCCATCCAGCTTGTCATCTGCCCCCTCCGGGATCAGACCCCTGGGCCCCTCCAGCCCAGCCCCCGTCTCAGCCCAGCTACCTGTTCTCCTTGCCGTTGTGCAGCAGCGAGTGGCGGTCGGCGCCGGGCCGCTCCGTGCACACGTACGTGTTCCTCCGCGTCATCACGCTCGACGGGATGTTGTTCTGCGAGGGACCGAGCGGGGCTGAGCCCAAGATCTGTGGGGCCCACCCGTTACCCGCCACCCGAAGGGGCAGGGACATGGGAGCACCAGCTGCCTAGGAGACAGGCCCGTTCTCTGGGCCACATGCCACTTCCCTGGCACCCCTCCTACCGCCCATGCCCCGTGGCACACACCACCCGTCAAGGTACCCTGCCCTTCCCCCGGGGGCACATGCTGCTCCCCAAAACACTGTGTTGGTCCCCTACGGGCACACGCTGCTCCCCAAAGCACCCTGGCCATCCCCCAGGGGCACACGCCACTTTCCCCGGCTCCACTGCTCATCCCTCCCGGGGGCACACACCGCTGGCCCCCGCCCCACTGCCTGTCCCCCCTGGGGGCACACAACACTCCTCCGTCCCTCCCAGGGGCACATGCTGCTCCCCCTGGCACCTTGCCCCACTCCCTTAGAGGTTTTTAAGGTCAGGCTTGACAAAGCCCTGGCTGGGATGATTTAACTGGGAATTGGTCCTGCTTCGAGCAGGGGGTTGGACTAGATGACCTTCTGGGGTCCCTTCCAACCCTTATATTCTATGATTCTATGATTCTATGATTCCCCATCCCCTGGGGCACACACCACCCTGTCGCCCAGCCCAGCTGGCCATACCCTTCCTGCCAGATCCCTCTGCCTGTCCCCTTCTCCACCCCACTTCCCCACCCCTGCTGTCCGTCCTGGAGCCCACCCCCTGCCCCAGCACACGCCCTCACCGTGTTGATGGTGCTGTCCTTGCGCCGGTCAGGGATCTCGGATTTGTTGGGGTTGTTGGCGCTGCTCACCATGGGGCTGGAGGGGGGGATCCCGCGCCCGCTGCTCACCACACTGCAGCTGGCCTTACGCGAGGGCATCCGCTCCTCCTTCAGCTCTGCCTCCCCGGTGCTTGTGGGGCTCCTCTTGGGGTGCATGGGGACCGGCGAGGGGCCACCTGCAGGCAGGGGATAGCTCTGATATCCTGTCTGGGAGCACGGCAGCCTTGGCTGCCACCCAGCCTGGGTAGAGGGGGCAGCAGGCGGGGGTGGCTGGCGCTGGGGACTCCACCTTGTTGTCCCATAGGGTTTTACTCAGTCACAGTCTCCTTGAACTCCCCACAGCCCCCCACTGCCCTGAACTCCCCACTTCCATCTCCCCACAGCCCCCCACTGCCCGGACCCCTCCCCCTGAACTCTCCACAGCCCCCCACTACCCTGACCCCTCCCCCCAAACTCCCATCTCCCCACGGACCCTCACTGCCCTGACCCCTCCCTCGAACTCCCCACTGCCCCCCACAGCCTTGACCCCTCCCCCAAACTCACTGCCCACTCCCCTCCTGAACTCCCCAAAGCCCCCACTGCCCTGACCCCTCCCCCTGAACTCCCCACGGCCCCCCACTACCCTGACCCCTCCCCCCAAACTCCCTTCTCCCCACGGACCCTCACTGACCGGACCCCTCCCCCTGAACTCCCCACGGCCCCCCACTACCCTGACCCCTCCCCTGAACTCCCATCTCCCCATGGCCCCTCACTGCCCTGACCCCTCCCCTGAACTCTCCACGGCCCCCCACTACCTTGACCCCTCCCCCCAAACTCCCCACTACCCTGACCCCTCCCCCCAAACTCCCATCTCCCCACGGACCCTCACTGCCCTGACCCCTCCCTCAAACTCCCCACTGCCCCCCACAGCCCTGACCCCTTCCCCAAACTCACTGCCCACTCCCCTCCCGAACTCCCCACAGCCCTGAGCTCTCCCCTGAACTCCGCACAACCCTCCGTACCCGTGCCCCAGAACCCCTGGGCAGCCCCTGGCGCCCAGCTGCCCTTTCACCCCGGTGCCCCATGAGGTTCTGCACAGCCGGTGGCCCTCAGCGTACAGGGGCCTCAGAGCCAGGGGCCCGCTGCTGTGGGCGGGGGCCGCGGGGCAGCCTGGTACTCACAGAAGTCACTGTGCCGCCGTTGCCGGTGGTAGGTGGAGGAGCTGCGCTGGCTCTTGCCATGGGAGGACGACTTGCTGGTGCCATTGGACACCTCGCTGGGCGCCCGCACCCGGGCCAGGGAGAGGCTGCTGCCTGTGTGCGACTCGCTCCCCTCCACCTGCCGGGAGAGGACACCTGTTACCCCCGCTGGGCAGCCCAGCCCTGCACCTAGCCGCTGGCTGGAGTCCAGGTGGGTGACGCTGGCCAGAGGTGGAAGTTGATCCCAGGGTGCCCCCTAGAGCCAGCTCCTTGGCGCCCGTGGCCAACCCGCCGTACGGTGCTGCCAAGCCATCATGCCCCCAGCACGGCCAGCGATCCACGTCTGCCTGAGGAGCTCCTGCCTAACAGGAGCGGGAGCTGCTCCCCCCCTTGTCCTTGCACCAGGGCTGGGCCTGGCCCAGTTTGGAGAAGGGAGGCTGAGCCACAGCCCTCTCCAGGAGAGAAACCTGGGGGCTGTGTCCTTTTGCTGCCAGGTCAGTCATCCCTGGCCTCCTGGGCCCACTCCTGGGCGCTGCTCCCCAAGCCCAGATCCCGCCACAGACTCCCCCGAGTTGCCCTTGGTAACGAAGTGGAAGTTTTCTGTAATGGTTAGATGAAGCTGAGGCATGCCTCAGTTTCCCTCTGTATGTTGCACGGCTGCCCAGTGGCTGCAAAAGGATTAACAGTGTGCATGTGTGGAGGGGATAGCTGTCTGTCTGGGGGAACAAATTAAGCCTTTGAAGAACAGGCTCAACAGTGGGTCCAGCAACACAAAGACCCTGCCGAAGAATGAACCATCCACAAGTAGCAGCAGGAAACCTGGCTGGCAGGCCTGGGGAACAAGGGCTCAGGGGCTGGGATACAGGCTGCCTTCTGGAGGAGCTCAGAAGCCCAGACCTGGGGAGCTAAGGGAGATGAGGGAGGGAGCCATCCCTGCTTGGCTGGTTCCTCAGGCTTGGCCAGGCTGGTCTCTGGCTTAGCCTCGGCCTCTCTGCGCAGACCCAGGCTGCTCAGAGGCAGGAGCCAGGGGCTAACACATGGCTGCCTTGCTCTGCAGAGACTGCCAGTGTCACTGTGACACTCCTGGGAGCATCGTGCAGCCGTGGAAGAGAACGGTGCAGGGTTCCGCAGGGCACAGACTGGGCTGGACTTGCTGCAGGGAGACAGCGTCGCTGGTGCCCAAGGCCCAGTGTTGCTGTCCTGCCTGGCCCTGTGCAACTGGGGAGGTTCTTGGGGCCCGGCCCACTAAAGGGGTCACTCCCAGGAGACTGATCACAGACTGGGGAACAGACCAGCCCCTGTGACTCCGTGACTCTGGCCCCTGCAGCCAAGATCTGGCTGCAGGGCATGGAGCTGGCAGCTGCCCTATGTGGTTGCTGCCCTTCCCAGTTCAGAATCGCTGGTACATTTCACCCTGCCTCAAAATCCCATCACAGAGGCTCAAACTATATGTATACCTCCCCCACCCCCAATCGGGAAGCGGAGCAAAACATGCCCATGGTTAACCAGCGGAATAACGAAGATGGTTAGAGACAAAAAGACATCTTTAAAAACTGGAAGTCACAATCCTACTGAGGGAAACACAAAGGAGCCTAAACTCTGGCAAGGCAAATGTAAAAGTGTAACTAGGAAGGCGAAAAAACGAATTTGAAGGGCATCTAGCAAAAAACACAAGCAGCAAAAAAAATGTAAACCACATCAGATGCTGGAAACCTAGCTCACAGTCCGTGGGGTCGCTGGACAATGCAGGTACTAAAGGAGTACCTCTGGGAAGACAAGGCCGTTGTGCAGAAGCTAAATGAATTCTTTGCTTCAGTCTTCACTACAGAGGATGTGAGGGAGTTTCCCACACCTGAGTGCCATTCTTTTTAGGTGACAAATCTGAGGAACTGTCCCAGATTGAGGTGTCAATAGAGGAGGTTTGGGAACAAATTGATAAATTAAATAGTAATAAGCCACCAGGCCCAGACGGCATCACCCAAGAGTTCTGAAGGAACTCAAATATGAAATCGCAGAACTGCCAAGAGGTTACTTACCTGTAACTGGAGGTTCTTCGAGAGGTGTGGTCCCTATCTGAATTCCACTGAAGGTTATACGCATGCGCCATGTGTCTGGGCCAGAGATTTTGGAAGCAGTAGTGTCCGCTGGTCCCCACATGCGCCCTTGCTCCGCCTCATGGTTTCATATGAGGCAATAAAAGGGCGGGGTGGACTGACTGCACCCTCAGTTCCTTCTCCACTGCAAATGGCACAGACCCGCAGCAGAGGGGAAGGAGGGTGGGACTGAAATTCAGATAGGGACCACACCTCTCGAAGAACCTCCAGTTACAGGTAAGTAACCTCCTCCTCCTTCAAGTGATGGTCTCTATTGTGTTCCCTTGAGGGTGATTAACAAGCAGCACCCAGTCAGGAGGAGGGTGCGAGGAAGAGGACAGAACTGTGGAATGGAGAACAGCTGTGCCGAACGAGGCATCCGTTGCAGAGTCTCACACCAAGGTGTAATGAGAAGAGAAGGTTCGTACCGAGCTCCACGGGGCCACCCCACATGTCTGTAAGCGGCATGTCGTGAAACGTGGCCGTAGCCGATGCTTGTGCTCTTGTGGAATGGGCTCGTACCCCAAGGGGCAGAGACAGTCCTGACAGCCGATAGCAGAGGGTAATGTGCGCCGAAACCCACTTAGAGATCCTCTGTGTGGAGATCGCCTGCCCCTTAATGCTGTCAGCTATCGCCATAAACAATCTAGGAGTCTTGCTGAATGGTCAAGGGAGTGAAGGTGCCGCTCCTCTGCCGAGGCGTGAGGCTTCGGAAAGATGGCAGGTAAGCGTACGGGCTGGTTGACATGAAAACAGGATACAACCTTTGGCAGAAACTTGGGTGCAGACACAGAGAAACCTTGTCCTTAAGGAATGTGGGATCCACTGTCATGGCCCCCAGTTTGCCTACCATGAGATGGGTAGTAATAACTACCAGGAAGGCGGCCTTCATGGAAAGGAGAGACAGAGAGCTGGAGGCCAGAGGTTCAAAGGGTGGTTTTATCAATGGCGTGAGGACAAGGTTGAGGTCCCATTGGGGAGCGATGAGTTGAATGGGCAGATAAGTCCATAGGAGGCCCTTTCAAGGCCTGCTAGTCAAGGGGCATGCAAAGACAGAGTGCCCCTCCACAGGGGATAGAAGGCACAGATAGCCGCTACATGCACCTTGATGGAGTTGAGTGCGAGTTCTGACGCCTTCAGGGACAGAAGGCAGTCCAGAAGAAGGGGAATGTCCATGTCCTCAGGATGCTTCCTCTTGGCCCGTTAGGAGCCTTGTGGCCTCTTTCCTGCTACTAGAGAGGATGTCTTGCCCTGCCGACAAATAGTGCCATTCTAGTGAAGATGCCCACCCAAAAAACAAGCTTTTATGGGGAGCGTCTATGGATCAGGATGCCAGATCCTTCCTCTATGTTGTGTGAGCAGCTCTGGGAACATTGGCAGCAGAAGTGGGGGACGGACTTGTCATGGAGTTCCTGGGCAATGCTCTGGAACTGCTCCCTACGCAGCCAGGCAGGACTCTGGGGGAGCCTCCTCTCTGGGAGCAGACTGTCTGCAGGGTAAACAGCTCACACGACTTCCTCCTTGCTGGGTCTGACCTCGGAGCATTCAGCATCCTCTGTCCCTCCCACAGCGAGTCTGCCCAGGCGGGGCCTGGGGAAGCCAGAGGGTCCTGCATCCCAACTTCGCAGTCAGACGTGACTCTCAGCCAGCCAGTAAAACAGAAGGTTTATTAGACGACAGGAACATGGTCTAAACCAGAGCTTGTAGGTACAGAGAACAGGACCCCTCAGCTGGGTCCATTTTGGGGGGCAGTGAGCCAGACAACCACATCTGCACTTCACTCCATGTCCCCAGCCAGCCCCAAATGACTCACCCTCCAGCCCCTCCTCTTCTGGGCTTTGTCCCTTTCCCGGGCCAGGAGGTCACTGGATTCCTTTGTTCTCCAACCCTTTAGCTCTCACCTTGCAGGGGGGAAGGGCCCAGGCCATCAGTTGCCAGGAAACAGGGTGTCGGCCATTCTCTCTGTCCAGACCCCTGCACACACCTGCCCTCTAGGGCTCTGCAACCATCATACACCCTTATCCCACCACCTAGAGACTTAAGAACTGCATAAGGGAAACTGAGGCACCCCCACACTATTCAGATAAAACATTAAGAACAGTCCCACTTCGTCACAGCACTGACGTGCAGAGAAGGACGGAAACCAGAACTGGCGAGGCCAGAACAGAGCGATCATTTGCCCCATAACCTCAGCCATGCAGAACACAATGCCATCCACAGCCTCAGAAACAACTCTGACAACATAATCAAAAAGGCTGACAAAGGAGGTGCTGTTGTCATCATGAATAGGCCGGAATATGAACAAGAGGCTGCTCGGCAGCTCTCCAACACCACTTTCTACAAGCCATTACCCTCTGATCCCACTGAGGGGTACCAAAAGAAACTACAGCATTTGCTCAAGAAATTCCCTGAAAAAGTACAAGAACAAATCCGCACAGACACACCCCTGGAACCCCGACCTGGGGTATTCTATCTGCTACCCAAGATCCATAAACCTGGAAATCCTGGACGCCCCATCATCTCAGGCATTGGCACCCTGACAGCAGAACTGTCTGGCTATGTAGACTCCCTCCTCAGGCCCTATGCTACCAGCACTCCCAGCTACCTTCGAGACACCACTGACTTCCTGAAGAAACTACAATCCATCGGTGATCTTCCTGAAAACACCATCCTGGCCACTATGGATGTAGAAGCCCTCTACACCAACATTCCACACAAAGATGGACTACAAGCTGTCAGGAACAGTATCCCCGATAATGTCACGGCAAATCTGTTGGCTGAACTTTGTGACTTTGTCCTCACCCATAACTATTTTACATTTGGGGACAATGTATACCTTCAGATCAGCGGCACTGCTATGGGTACCCGCATGGCCCCACAGTATGCCAACATTTTTATGGCTGACTTAGAACAATGCTTCCTCAGCTCTCGTCCCCTAATGCCCCTACTCTACTTGCGCTACGTTGATGAGATCTTCATCATCTGGACCATGGAAAAGAAGCCCTTGAGGAATTCCACCATGATTTCAACAATTTCCATTCCACCA